CAGGTCCTCTGACTCCAGACCAGTGAGTGCTCTTTCCGCTATACTATGCTGGCTCCTTAGGTGACCCATTGGCCTCCCAAGGTACTTAACATTTCATCATTAGAGACTCAAACCTTTGGAGGAAGTTGCATGACCTTGATGACTGGGAACACTACAAATTTAAGTTATCTGATCTCAACTTAGTACCCACTGCATCAAGGCAGTACTTTCACTCCTCCCTAATTAATTCTCAATCCCAATTAAACAGCTGTTTGAAACTTTTTGTTTTCTCCTCCATCATCTCACAGCACCCTCTAACCCCCTTCTTAGCTGAGGACCTCACCTTACACTTTGGGTTCAAAGGTTTATATTACAGTCTTCTTGTCATACTAGCATACAGAGAGAGCATATAAAACCATTAACACCCTAATGACAATTAGGTGACCAGAAGACTTACCAATTCTGTCAGCTGAGAAACAGACACAGTAAAGTTTAACTTTTAGGGAAAGAAAAAGAGCAGGACCCACAACCTGGGAAGGACAGGTCTGACAAAGTGTGACAGTGGACATTCAAGAGGGAGCATGAAGACACTTAGCATTCAGGGAGAGAGGGAGACCTAAAAAGAGAATGAAAGACCCAAAATTTAAACTTTACCTACAATTCTACCTATTCCTTGACAACAGGCTTAGTAAAGGTGACACCAGAAAACAGAAAAATAAAGTGCAACTTCATCTTTTTCTTTGGTTACCTGAATGCCTCTATGCTCTATCACAGAAAGCTGTCAGAATTAGTAGGGGCTTTGGAGATCATCTACTCCAAATTCCTGATTTCAGATGAGAAGACAGGACCAAAGAGGTAAACTGACTTACCAAACCCATACACCCAGTGACTGGCAGAGCTCACTAACATAAAGAACTCAGGCTCTTTCTACTAGGCCCAACATAATAGGATGGTCACCTGGGCTTAGTAAGATCTCAGGTCCCCTGAAAGCTGAAGAGGCCCAACAGATAACTTTCTCAGTCTGATGAGTAAGGAGACTTGGAATGAATTTCAGTGAAACAGACTAGATAATCGGTAAGTAAGAAAAAGAAACCACTGAAAACAGCAGCCCACTGTCTGATAAATCCAAGAATACAAATTACTGGGGAACAATTCTCTTTTTGACAAGAACTGCAGGGAAAATTGGGAAAAAGCTTGGCAGAAATTAGATTTAGACCAAAATCTTAAAACATGACTCATGACAAGGTCAAACTGGAGATGTGAACAGAATCTAAAAGATCACATCATAAAAAGATTAGAAGAAAACTGTGGCTATGAGGAGAACTCTGAAGTAAACAATGCAAAGAAAAGATCATTAAAGAAAAGAGATCATTTTGACTATATAAAACCAAAAAATATTTCACAGAAGTAAAATTATTAAAGAAAAATGGTAGAACAAGAAAACTATATGCATAAATATTACCAAGAAAAGTCTGATATTGAAAATATATAGGAAACTGACTCAAACATTTAACATCAAGAGCCATTTCCCAATAAATAAATGATTAAAGGGTATGAACAATGTTCAAAATATACAATGAACTATAAATGACCATATGAAAACATGCTCCAAATCACTAATAGTAAAAAGAAATGCACAGTGTCTGGCATATATCAAGTCCTTATTAAATGCTTGTTAACTGAATGAATGAAATGCAAAGAAAAAAGTAGGATCATTGAGGCAACTTTTTTTTTTAATAGAGAGAAAAGAACAGATGGAAGACCAGAAAGGATGGCTTTGAAAACTACAGACTGAGCTTATTAAATGTTGTTTTTGTTTTAAATGCTGCATATAACAGAGATCTGAAGTATCATTTATGATTCTTTTTTTTCTATCCTACTATATATATGCAAACACTCATTCTATTTAATGTTTCATAATTTCAGAATAAAAATTAGTTAAGAAAGAAAGACATGCAAAGTAAAACAACCCTGAGATTTCATCTCACACCCTGCCAACTGGCAAAAATGACCCCAAAAAAAGAGTAATGCTGGAGGAGCAATGGAAAAATCAGCACACTGAGTCATAACTGGTAGAATTGTGAAGTGGCCCAATCATTCTAGATACCAATTTGGAATTATGCAAGAAGAATGACTAAATTGTCTATGTACCCTTTAACCCATCAAGTGATCTCACTACTGGGAAAATATTTAAAGGTCAAATATAATAAAATATCCATAACAGCACTCTTTGTGGTAATAAAGTTTGGCACTCATCAACTAAGGAATGCCTACAAAAACTGGCATATGAGTGTAATGGAAAATTATTATGTAGTGGAAATGACAAATAGGAAGAATTCAGAGAAATATGGAAAGACACATATGACCTGAGAAGAGAGAAATAAGCAGAACTGAAAAAAACAGACAATGACTAGCATAATGTAAATGAAAAGACCACTAAGTTTAACTTCATAACCTAAATATCAATAAAGGACACAAAGAACAGATAACAAAGCCTTTATCATGCCTAAATAATAATGATAATGATGGCTAGTATCTCTTTAGAGCTTTAAGGTTTACAAAGAACTTTACAAATATTATCAAATTTCACTCTCACAACCACCTTGGGAGGTACTATTATCCCCATTTTACAGAAGAGGAAACAGAGTGAGTGAAGTTAAATGATTTGCCCAGGGTCACACAGCTAGTAAGTGTCTGAAGCAGGATTTACACTCAGGTCTTCCCAACTTCAGGTTCCGTATTCTATTCACTGCATCTACTGCCTAAAAACAGAGAGGTGTGAACTCCTGGATAGAATACTGCACATATTGTCAGAATTAGTCACTGTATCAGATGTTTTTGCTTACTTCAGAGTTTCTTGACTTTTTTGATGTCATGGACCCTTTTAGCAGTCTAGTGAAGGCTGTGGAATAATGTTTTTAAATGCAAAAAAAAACCCCATAAAGATTGCAAAGGAAATCAATTACATTGAAACAATTATCAAAATATTTTTAAAAATCAGTTCATAGACTCCAGGTTATAAACTCCTTGTTTAGTTGTTTTTCTTTGTCACGAGGGAAGATGCAATTTGTATAAAATGGTTGTAACATAAAGACAAAAGAGATCTATAAAGCATATTTTAATAAATAAATGAGGAAGTCATAGGTCACATGGAAGGGAATTCTGGGGAGCAGAAAAAGGCTTGGCCTGGGAGGGAGGAAACAAGGATCCTTGTGTCAGCTCTGATAGTGACTTTCTACCTCTGGGCATGCCTTTTCACTTTCTAGGACTCAGCTTCTTTAAATGTAAATGAAGGCATTAGACTGGATGATTTCTAACGTCCCTTTCAGCTCTTAGATTCTAAGATTCCCTTGAACTAAGAGTCTAAACCAGTGTGGCAAATCAGGATCATGGCCTCAAAGTCAGAGGTGACCAGGGACATCACCTAGTCCTACCCTCTGCCCAATAAAGGAATCTCTTCTACAAGCCCTCTAGACTATTTACTATATTCATATTTTGTATTTACTTCTCTGTGTACATGTCAATTTCACCCAATAAAATATAAGCTTCTTGAGCACAGGAACTATTTTGTCTGTACCCAGCACATAGGTAGGTACTTACTATATGTTTGCTGAATGAATGACTGTTCCTATAAATTCAATAAACTAAAATCCCTATCATGCTGAAAGTGAATCAGAGAAATAGAAGAAGGAAAACCAAAAGAGTAAAAATAACCAGACACCTCAGTTTACATCAAAACTGATATCATGGCTTCCGGCTCCCCTGTGTGGTAAAACTAGAAAACTTCATGCTAAACTGTCTTAAAAGTGTGAACAATAGCTTCTTGGTTTTCTGGCATTTAAACATCTAGTTGTGTTTTGTTTTTTTTTACTAAGAGCCTGTAATATCTTTGTCATTTAAATCAAACCAGTGCTATGATTTAGGGCATGAAGGCTAGCAGTTTCCATTCATCATCTCTCACTTTGATTTATTCAACTCTACCTGAGAGGACATACAATTTCTATTTAAGTTATAAATGACAAAGAGCACTAGATTTGGGGAGGGCCTAGGTTTGAATTGTGGCTCTGTTACTATCTTTGTGGCCTTTCACATTCTTCTGATCAGAAGATCACTTATAATTTCCAAACTGACAAATGTTAATATTGCCAGTATCTATACAAGATTTGTAATTTTATCAGTATAGAAGCTTCAATGAAGAACTTCCTTTATCAGCACATTTTCTCCTACTTATCTCATTAGAAGGCTGCCTGGAGCACTGAGAGCTTAAGGATTTGCCCAGAACAAGTAGGGGCAGAAGCAGGACTGGAACCTAGGTCTATTGGAACCTGAGGACTAGCTCTCTATACCACACAGCCCCACCTCACATAATTACCATCCTTAAAAAAACAAGAGTGAAAAGTCAAGGATACTACCCCATCATGATGAGGCACTGCAGTAAAGCTTTAGACTACAGATCAATTTCCAATAAAAAATAATAAGTCTTTTCAGCAAATACTCAATCCACAAATTAGAAAGGGACCCATCATCCTATCACATGACATGCTATACATTTTTATTGTGGAGGAAGAGAAAATTAGAACAAAGGGAAGGTACATTTAGTCCATAACATATAAATTAACTGGCCATTTTTATTTTAGTCAGTAGTTACTAAATAAAATCATTCCTATACCAAACATTTTTTCTTGAAAAACTGAAAATCAATAAACTTAGGGCATTTTTCAAGTAGTTTTAAGAATTTAGTGACAATGAACGAATTAATCCCAGACATTACATCATTGAATGTATGTGACTTGTTACATAAAAGTAACAATGTAACAATTTTACGAGTTTGATAAAAATCATTAAACATAAATAAAATCCCAAGAAATAAGACGAGAAACTGGCTACTCAATTATCAAATCAAAATCTGTTTGCAATTTAACTTTTTTAAAACACTAACTATTCTAATCATAATATTTGCATTATAGTACATAAAATTGAAGGGTCAGGGACTATCAGTTCCTAACAAATAAAACACTCACCTTTTGGACCTCACATCTGCTGCTTCAAACTGGATGTTCATAACTTGAGGATCTACTTCATTATTCACCTCAGAAATGAGGAGAGGTCTAGAATCATCATCCATATTTGAAATGTGAATTTTCTAAAACCTCTGAGTTCTGAAGAATTTTGACCTTTACAAATAAAAAGATAAGTAATTTTAATTCTCTATATAAAAGACATGATTTTGACATTTATAAGGTTATATATTTTCAGTATGTAGAACTGAAAAAGTACAATCATGAAACAATCCCTGAGGACACATAAGAGATGCCTGAAATTTTAATTTCGTAGCAATTTAGTGAGGAACTTCGTTTTTTCAGTTTAAGTAAAGAAAGAAAACAACATAAATTGAAGGGAATCAGTCCTAACACCTCAGGCAGAATTTCCAGTTTAGGAAGCTAGCCACAAACATAATTCAGCTTAAAGAAAAAGAGGTCAAGTTAGCAGAACACAAGACAGTTGGCTACAAAGGATAAAAATTCTGTGCTGTTAACATTCTTCAATTACCATACACCAAGTTGGCCCAGGAAGAGATCTCTCATTATTAAAGAAGCAGACAGAACTGCTAAGGTATGCATAATCATATCACCTACTAAACTTTTACCTATGTCAAACTGAAAGAGACTTGAGAGGCCGAAAAGCACAAGTTCCTGAATGTTCCATGACAGTCATATTACAGTAAATTACAAAGAAGAATAAAACCAAGTCTAAATAAAAAACCCTGGATATTATTTATGTGTAAAAACATAAATATATTTACATACATAAAAACACACACACACAGCATATGGGGTCAGACAACTGAATAAATACATTCCTAGAAAACACAATCAATACCCTGTGCGCAGCCTTTACAGTGAGATGGGGAACTCTGGGCCTTTGGTTTCATTTCATCTATCCCTTAAGTCAAGCACAAGAGATGATATCATTTATGCTAAGAAATGCAAAACCACAAGTTTTAAGTCTTTAGGAACTTTATCTTACAAAACCACAAGATGGTGCTATGCCTCCATGAAAGTGTCTCATTTTTTGTATACATTTTGTGACTTTTTGAGTCTGGTTTTCTTTTCATGGTCAGAAGTGAAGAAGGAAACAGAAAATGGATCTCTAGTTTCTATTATCTACCAAAATTTACTCATGACACAAAAATAAGTCCACCAATTGATTTGTCTGATTTGATGGAAAATGGGATGTCTTATAAGGTTATATTTTTTTCAGTCTTACTATTTTGATCCATTAATTTTTTTTTTTTTTGGTGAGGCAATTGGGGTTAAGTGACTTGTCCAAGGTCACACAGCTAGTACGTGTCAAGTGTTTGGTCTGAGGCCGGATTTGAACTCAGGTCCTCCTGACTTCAGGGCCAGTGCTCTAGCCGCCCCTTGATCCATTAATTTTTAAAAATTGAATTGGTATTTAGGTCAAACCAGGATTTTCAGTCTTGACTAGGAAACTGCCAATTTGATGAACTTCTGTAAGAAAAGTTCTTTGGACAGAATGAATAAAACCATGGAGTTTAAAACAGCAACCAGTGAAAACTAAGTGATTTTAAGGAAGTCATTCTTAGAATGGGACTTGAAAAAGGATACAAAATATTGTGGGAAGGATAAAATTTAGGTTTAGGTTTTAATTTCCTAAAAATCTAGAAAACACCCTGGTAAATCATGAAATTAGTTATAACACTGAAATTCAAAAAGTCTCTCTGAGTAAGACAGTCAAAAATCCTAGTGGCACATCTGTCTTCCACAGGACAAACAAACTCCAACTTCTAGTGCTCCCGGTAATATTCAGCAGGGAAAGGGAAAGGGGTAAGAATGAGAGTTGTCTGTATTCAAGGCGGAAAAGAAGTGTCATGTGGAAAGGGGTTAAGACTTTCTCCATTTGGCCCCAGAAGGCAAACCTAGGGACAAAAGAAAGTAGAGAAAGGAAAAACGAAATTCTGTGTAAGGAAAAACTTATTAACACTTACAAAAGCTGTACAAAAGTAGAATGGGCTGCCCATTACTAGAGGCCCTCAAGCCAACCCCAGATTGATCACATGGGTGAGATATTGGAGAAGGGATTCCTATTCAGTTGGATGCTCACTCATCCAGCTATGAGAATCTGTGGTTCCCTGACCTCAATCACTACTGCCAAAAAGGTAATAACACAATTGGTGAAAAGAATTAAAAATACAAAGAAAGCTACCCAGATTAGACTCAAGGATAATTGATCAAGAAACTCCCATAAAGATCGGGGCGAAAAATGTTTCCTTATACGATGCCGTTTACAATGACCAGAAAACATCAGGGTGCTCATAGTTTACAACAAAACAGGAAGAGCAAAAGCTATCAGTCATTCATTTTGCAACAGTGAAAGTGTAAAGGGTCAAGCCAATATTTGAACAAAACAGAAATGATATGGAATCCTCCTCCACTCTGGTATTCAGCGGTTCTTTGCTCAGTGATGCTATAGAGTTGCAAATATGATATAAATACAAACTTTATTGCAAACTCTGTTTTTAAAATAACATCACTACCTGCCACCTGGTCTATGGTAATTACGGTGGGCATACTCTAGAAGCTGCACTTAATGAAGTTATAAAACAGAGGTCTCAGTAACAACTCCCATTCTTTGACACAATCACAGTATCTTAGGGTTTAATAGGTCCTTAGAAGCCATCAAATTTAACCCACGTCCAAATAAGAATCCTTTCTACAACATACTCCACAAGGCATAATCTAGCCAATCTAAAAGGGCAGCTCAATTCCACTTATGTACCAAATTGTTAATATTTTACACTGAGACTAAATGTCGGTCTACAACTCCCCACCACTGATTCTAGTTCTGCCAAACAGAAACACACAAAATCAATAACTAAGCACTTATTAAGCACCTGTGTGCCAGGCTCCATGCTGGGGAATGGCTATACAAAGACAAAAATGAAACATTTCTCCCTTCCAGGACCTTACATTCTACTGAGGGGAAAACATATACATACAGAATATACAGAAAGTACAAAAAAATTACCTAGTAATAGGGGGAGGCATTAGCAACTGGGAGGGCAGGGAAGGCTTTATGTAGAAGGGGGCGTCTGAGTTGATTTCTTAAGAAAAGCAGAGATGCTAAGAGGCAGAGGCGAGAAGGTACGTCAGAGGTGAGAAGGTACGTTCAAGGCACAAGAGACAGCTAATGACAGGAGGTAAGAGCATCATGTGTAAGGAACAGAAAGATAGCCAATTTGTCTGGGCCACAGAGTACCTGAAAGAGACTGATCTCTAATAAGGGTAGAAAAGTAGAAGTCAATAGAACCAGAAGGGATGTAACAGGCCATTGAAATGAATCTCCTTATTTTACAAATAGGGAAACTGAGACTGAGATGGGTTAAGTGTCTTGCCAGCTACTGAGTGTTTAAGGCAGGATCTGAACTCAAGTTTTCCTAATGCCAAGTGACACACTGGGAGAGACTTTAAATGCCAAACAGAAGAATTTACATTGATCCTAGACATAATAGGGAGCCATGGGAATTTAATGAGTAAGAAAGTGACATGGTTAAACTTGCACTTTTCAGAAAAATCATTTTAGCAGCTTTGGGGAAAAAGAATTGTAGAAAAAAGAGACTTGAGGCAGGGAGACCAATTAGAACGTGATTGCAATGATCCAGAGATAGGCGATTAAGGCTTAAAACTAGGGTCATATATACGCTTGTGGTGACAAGAGGATAAGAGTGAGAAATGTGGAGAATACATTAATCCCTCTTCTACATGTGTTGTCGTTCAGTCATTCTCAGTAGCGTCCAACTGTTCATGACCCCATTTGGGGTTTTCTTGGCAAAGATACTGGAGTGAGTTGCTATTTCCTTCTCCATCTCATTTTACAGATGAAGAAACAGGCAAACACAATTAAGTGATTTGTCCAGGGTCACTGTCTGAGGCCAGATTTGAACTCAAGAATGAGAGTCTTTCTGACACTAGAAATGGCGCTCTATCCACTGCCCCACGATAGTCCTTCAAATACCTGACAATAGCTACCCTAACTTATTTAATTTTCCTCTCTACACTCAACACTACCAGTTGCTTCAGCCAGTATTAATATGTTGTGATCTCAAGCCCTTTACCATGCTGACTGCCCCACTCTAAAATGTGGTGCCCACAAAACCACAATGGGTGAAACTAGGGCAGAGCACAGTAGAACCAACACTTCCTTAGTCCTGGACACTAAGCCTTTCTTAGGGAAGCCTAAAATCATATTAGTTTTTTGGCTGCAAAATCATAAGCTCTTACTGAACTTGCACACCACTAATCCTTTTCATATAAAGTGCAGTCTCAACATGGCTCTCATACTGTATTTGAAGATAACTTACGAACCAGTGTATAAGACTTTACATTTATCTTCATTCAACTCCATCTTCTTAGATTTGGCTGACTATTCTAGCCCATCAACATCTTTTGAGATCCCGACTTTGTAATTCAACTTGTTAGCTATTACACCTCACTTTGTGTCTCCTACAAATCTGATACAATGGCTATTCATATCTTTCTCTGCCTCCAACAGAATGTAAGCTTCTTGAGAGCAGAACTCTTGTCATTGTATCCCTAGCAAGTGGCACAAAGCAGGTACTTAATGTCTGACTAGTTCATCCAAGTCATTGATAACAATTGTAAAGAGCACAGAACCAAGTATATATCCCTGGGGCACTAAGCCTTCCTCCTTACTTTGTTTTTTGAGCTACAGAAGCACAGATCCCCAGTGGATCCACAGATAGATTTCAGGGGATCCTTTTACTTCAATAAGGGGTAAATTATACCTTTATTTTCACTCATCTCTAAATGAAATTTAGTATTTCGTTAATTATGAATGTAGATAACAAACAGCATTCTAAGAAAGGGTCTATAGACTTCACCAGTCTGCCAGAGGTCCATGACACAAAAAAAGGTTAAGAACTCCTTTTCCAGGATAACATAGCACTATTAATAAATTTTCAGTACAGTCAATCAATGTTACAAATTCCTCTATTACTGTCTAGCCCACATTTTCCCATCTATAAGAAGAGCATGAGAAACTCTGTCATATGCTGGTATCTAAGTAAACAACACCCGATTTAACAGGCTCATTAAGGGCCCTGTCAAAAAAAGGAAATAAGGTTAGTCTGTTAGGACTTTTCTTAATAAACCATTCAGACTTTTTGTTATTACCCATTTCTTGAATAACATCTTCTGGAATTCTGCCAGTAAGTCCAGTCAGTTCACTAGCTTGTTTTGAGTTGTATTTTCCATTCTCTTCTCTTTTGTGAAAACAGAGATAGTTGCTGTGATCTTTCCTCCAATCTTTCAAAGATTCACAATAGTGATTTCAGAGATTCTTCAGCAGTCACACCTATCAGTTCTTACCCTGAGAGGCAGATTGCAAACTGAACTCATGAAGGGCAGCTAAATACTCTCTCTTTATATCCCTATTACCTTGGATAACAATTTATTACTGCAAATAGCCATTTTTGTTCTGTCCTTTCTAGTCCTACGATCATCCTCCTTGGTAGATAAAACAAAAACAAAATAAAAGTTGAATAGTTTTGTCTTTTTTCTCATGTACGTTATCAAGTTCTACCTGCCCTGAACAGCAGCACTATCCATCCTCTGATTGGCTTTTCCCCAACGTAGCTAAAAACAAAATAAACCTTCATTTTCTTTAGCTTTCCTCATCAACTTTAATTCATTCTGAACTTCAGTGTTTCTGACACTTCTTACAGGACAACGGACAACCAGACCACACTTTGGTGTTTATCCTCCCTTGACTGCCCTTCTTCCTATCTTCTGAATATGACTTTTCAAAATCAAAGTTTCTACCTATTTATCCTTATACTGTTATATAATCTACATGTATATTTAACTTCCTATTATGAACTAGTAATGCTTTCTGTAAAATAATACATAGCATATTTTGAGGTCATAATGAATGGGACCACCAACTTTTCCTAAAAATTCAAGATAGGTAGTATTAAAAGCACTGAGATGGAATCTAAAGATACTTTGTTTTCAACTAACCAATTATTTCCAGAGGCATATGAGGTCCACTGTAGATTAAATTCTCCAAACAGTATCATAAAGTAGAAAAAACAATGGGATTTGAATCTGAGGGTAGAAACTCAAATTATCTCAAAGGTTCCCTTCCAGCTCTAAATCCTGGAATCTAGGAATAAGATGAAAAATGTTTTTCTCATGACAAGAAAGCCTAGGCAGCATCTCACCTTGCTACTAACCATGTTACATTAACATGATACACATACAAGGCAAATCTTGATTTGCTAAATTGGAAAAAAGCAATGCCAGGCTGGATTTATCAATTTTCAATAAAGACATGAAGAGATAAGTTTCTTCACTAGTTACCTGTTGGCCGGCATATGAAAAATCCTTTTAGGACCGGCAATGCTGTAACAAGAAAGAGGAGGCACATTAGATTTCACCACCACCACCAGTTTCACCACGGTAACAGAGAGATACAAAGCTGACACCCTTTTTAAATTGCTCTGCCTCTCTCTAACTTAGGGATGGAGCAGACGTCACACCCTTGATTTACAACTTCATAAACTGTCTCTGATTCAGAGCTCTGCATTACTGCAGGTACTACTGCTCACACTACCTTCCCGGGAATCCCTCAATACAACCTGGCCCAAGTCAGAGGCCCTACTACAGGACACCATGCTGCGGGGTGTCTGCAATGTCTTGCCTCAGGTCCAGCAACTCCCCCTGCGCTGGGGTCTTCGGACAGGTGGATTACATTTCCCTGGCCCCAAATCAGACTGTCCAGCCCCCTGCCCTCGCGCCAGTCCCCGGGGCTTCTACACCCCCCTTACACCCCCTTCTTACCCTCCCCCGCCCCTACATCTTCATCCTTCTCTCTCCAGCCCCGGCACCGAGCAACATGGAAACCTTTTATTTTGTTTTGCAAATTAAATCGCCCCTCTCCCCCAGCCCCCAGCCCCAGACGTTGGGGGATCCCAAAGCGCTTTACCGACGTTCCCAGCTGGATCAGCCCTTTCGAGCCCCGCTAGAAGTGCTCGGGGACGGAGGCTCGTTCCTGTATTTGTCTGGAGGGAGAGACTGAAGACAGAGGACAGATGGAGAGAGGGGGCCCCGGGTCTTCCTGCCGGGGCGCGGGGCGAGTGGGCACACAGCCAAAGCTAGGACACGACAGCACTTACAACCAGCCCCAAACCCTACTCAAAAAAGCAGCCTTCCCCCGGCTTTCCCTAAACAGGAAGTGGCAACTTGGGCGGGCCGCGAGGGCCGACGGGGAATGGAGTTCTTGCCGCAGGTTGTCCTCGAACCTCTCGACCCATGTGGACTACAGCCCCCACAAGGCCCCGCGGCAAATCTGGGCTCCTTTTGGAACGCTAGTCTGGACTTGCTCCAGAAAAGGAACGTGGGTGTCTCGTCCTCGACGGGCCCCGGGGACAGTCTCGGGGGCCTTCCGGAGGGGCTCTGTAGTCACGTGCAGTAAGGGCTTTTGGGACACCTGCGGACCCCGGCCCGGACTCTTCTGCTGTAGTGGCTGGGCTGCGGTCACGTGTCTCTCCTCTCCCCATCAACCCCTTCCCGCCCCCCCGCGGTCACGTGTCTCTCCTCTCCCCATCAACCCCCTCCCCCCCCCCCCCCCCGGGTAGCCGCAGGTGCTGGTTTGCTGATCCAGAGCTTCTTGTCTTGTTTGCGGGATAATTTGTCAGCCAAGCAGAAATGTGTGCTTCTCTTTTCTGGGATCAGATAGGACTAACTCGACAGAAATGTAGCTTATCTTTTAACAAAACACCTGATTCCTGCAAATATGTGGAAAGAGCCCTGAGAGTGTACTTAGAAGACATGGGTTCATATTCGAGAGCTTCTTGTTAAGTGACTTGGAACAGTTTATTAACCTCTCTGGACCGCAGTTTGCTCATCCATAAAACGTAGGGTTAGAACGAAATCGAACATTCTTAACTTTTTATGTGTCACAGACCCTTTGGTATACTGGTGAAGCCTAAAGACCTTGACTCAATATTTTTTTTAAGCATAAAATACATAGGATTACAAAGAATACCAATTATATTTATTTTCCCTTTTTTCCCTTCCCCCCCTTTTTTATTTTCAGTTCCAAATTCTCTTCCTAACCTCTTTTCTTTCCCCATCCTTTGAGAAGGTAAGAAAAATGAAACTCGTTACAAATCCATAGTCATGCAAAACTAATTTCTGCTTTAGCCATGTTCCCCCCCCAAAAAAAAACAGGAAAAAGAAAGAAATAGAATAAAATGTTTCAGTATGCACTGAGTCTATCAGCTATCAGCTGTACTCTTGAGTCTCATCCTCTTTGACTTCTATAAAATGAAACAATTGGATTGTAATTTAGTTAAAGATTAGGTCCTGCAGTGGCATGCTGCCACAACACTCTCAAGTGCTGGCAGAACCCAACAATAAAATAAATAATATTAACATGTGTTTTCTAAGTCAATATACAGCCCTTGGGGATCCTTATGTATATTTTAGTAGCCTCTGTTTGTATCTGAGTTTGACACCACTGGATTAGATGATCTCTAACATCCTTCCAGCTCTAAATCTGTGATCCTGCGTGAAAACAAACACATTAATGGACTGCTGGTGGAACTGGAAACTTGTCCAGCTATTCTGGAAAGCAATTTGGAACTATGTCCAAAAAGTTACTAAATTGTGCATACCTTTTGACCCAGCAATAACCATTATTAGGCCTATTACCCCCAAAGAGATCAAAGAAAGAAGAAAAGGACTTATATGTACAAAAATATAGCATTTCTTTTTTGTGGTGACAACTGGAAACTAAGGAGGTGCCCTTGGGGCATGAGGAATGGTTAGACAAATTATGGTATATGAGGAATACTACTGTGCTGTAAGAAGATGAAGGGAACAGTTTCAGAAAAACTGGAGAAGACTTATTTGAACTGATACAGAATGAAGTCAAGTAAAACTAAGAAAAGAATATATATAATAATAACAAAGCCCTTTATAACCCAAATTCCCTCTTTCTTTTTACACTTTACCTCTCTCCTCATTCTCCCTTTGCCATCCAGTGTCACTGGCCTCCTTGCTGTACCTCTGACAAAACACTCCATCTCCAGACTCAGGGCATCTTCACTGGCTGTTCCCCATCCCTGGAAGGCTGTACCTCATCTTCATCTCCTGGCTTCCCTGGCTTCTTTCAAGTCTCAGCTAAAATCCTACCTGCTACAGGAAGCCTTTCCTGATCTTCCTTAATTCTAGTGCCTTCCATCTATTTATCCTGTTTATAACTTGTTCAAACATATTGTTGAACCCCTTCCCATTAGACTATGAACTCTTTGAGAGCAGAGACTATCTTTTTCTGTTTTTGTGTCCCCTATGACTAGCACAATGCTTGGCGAATATTAAGCATTTAAAAATGTTTATTGACTGACATAGTGTCTAACATAGCACTGCCTTTGGCAGCCATCTGTCTTAATTTGTCAATTAAGTCAAATGTTTGCTGGCTAAGGTGTTTTCTGGGTTCTTTTGGTCTCCTTGTTATAGCAATTAACTTACATTGGTTAAACTGCTATAGGAAATTATTGTAGTCAGTGTCAATTTCCCATTTTTTACTTTACTTTTACTTTACGAATCAATAATTCATTTTATTCAGGGTTAAATCTTAATAGTATACTGTATCATTTTCTTTCAAGTCAGTGGTCCAACAGTGAATGCCTAGAGAGCTAACTCAAGGATAACTCCCATGTCCATAATGTCTTTTCCTGTTTGTTAAAATGTACTTTTCCTAAATGTTTCTCATCATCCTCACCTTTCCCCACCTTTGCATTGGTATATCAAATATTAATTTCTTCACAGAATTTCTTTACCACTCAAACAAACACTTATAAAGCATGCCAATGACCACCCTTTCATCTAGTTTCTGCTTCTAGTACTCAAATTTTGCTTTCAAGGGTTTTACTAGAGTCCCCTGTTGGTGTCTTCTTTTCTTCAGTATAGGACCTTCAGAGTTCTTGAAAGTCATCTGAAGTCTTCCCTGTTTCTGGACACCCAAATATCAGCTACTTGAACCAATTACAGCAACTATTGCAGAAGAAGAAACAGACTAGCTAAGAGGGAAAGTCTTCCAAAGACAGAGAAACTACCAGAAAGAAAAGGGCCCTGTCCGCGTTGATCTAGCTGTATTCTATGAAGAGGAAATGTAAAATGAACAATTGGGTTGCAAATGTCCCAATGAGGCTTGTGTGAGGAACTGTAATCACCCTATGATTCTTTCCTGCTAAGTGTTCCTTTTTTGGGTAGGATTAAAACTGTCTTTCTAGGGTAGCTGCTTAGTCCGTGTGAGCAGTGGCTGGGGCTGAGGCCGCTGCTTCCCAGGGCCTTTGCATCAGTGCCCTACTACTTACTGTTGAAAAATTCACAGACAAGTGAATGGATATCAACTGAAAATGGTAATAGAACAGTGGGAATCAGCAATTTTGCACAGGAAGAATTGGGAGATGTAGTTTACTGTAGTCTTCCAGAAGCTGGAACAAAATTGAACAAACAAGATGGGTTTGGAGCTTTGGAAAGCGTGAAAGCTGTCAGTGAACTCTATTCTCCACTAACAGGGGAAGTAATTGAAATTAATGTAGCTCTTGCAGAAGACCCAGACTTGTCAACAAATCTTGTTATGAAGATGGTTGACTGATCAAGGTGACTCTCAGCAATCCTTCAGGACTGATGAACTGATGAATGAGGATGCATACAAGGGATACATAAAATCTATTGAGGATTGAACACTGGACCTCCAAATAAATTAACATAAGAATACAGCCCAGTATAGTTTTGTCCTAAACTAGTGGTATATGGAAGGTTAGCAACTTTAACACTTCTGAAACAATGCCATGGCATGGAAAAAAATCATAACTACTCAGAAATGACTGGATAAAAATGATTTCTTCCTATTTTCACCTTTTGCACAACTTCCTTCTAGTAATTTCAAGTTAATGTCCGTCTAGTTCTGAATTCATTGCATCATGTGTGGTAAAAATGAATTCTAAGACCATGTACTTCAAAGTTAGAATTTTATCTGTAAAAAGCTTTAAATCAGTAATGTAATGGCCATTCAACCCCATCCATCACCAGTTTTGTTCAAAATACATTTGGTTTTCTGTCCATGGGAGTAATTTACTGGGATTTGTTAACTGGCTGGTGTCAGATACAGAATAATACCAACTTAATTTTTGAATAAACTGGTTGACTGAAACTCCTTTATACAGATGAGGCTTCAACCTTGCAG